CCTTGGTCAGCACCATCAGACAAAGCCAGCAAGCTGATTTTGGCAAGCAAGCTCCTGGCTGTGATGGCCTCAGGGCACAGCAGCAGCATGCTGCCAGCAGCAGGTCCAGACATCCAGCATTGGCTTTCCAGTGCAATTCCTCAACTGCCCTTCACAGTCCACTGACTTGCAGAGAACAGCATATGTCTGACAGGTGCTGTGCAGCACTGACTTTCCCTGTCCTTATCAGTACAGATGGCCAAAAGTTGTGCTAGGGCACATAGGTGTTTTGGGCGCTTTCTTTGCATACAGACTTGTTAAAGGAAATAAAAATGAGATAGAGCATAAACACACTCGTAACCCACTCCCAGGTGACTGCCAAAGGAAAACTGATGAGGTCCTGCAAAGACTACATGATTTGTCAACTCAAGAAGGTGGTTTCACAATGTTTGTTTTTATTCAAAAACGTGCAGATTCTGTCAGCCCTTACAGAGGCAGAAGAAAGCTTGGAACAGAGGTGCTTTAGAAACTATACTCCCCCCTCACCCTGTGACTAGCAGTACCAGCCACCCTTTGCTGCCATGCTCAAACACATCAGTCACCTGCTCTGCCCTGCTCCTGTCCCACAGGCCCTGCAGGGTTTCTGACACAAATGACATAGGAAGCAGAGCTGGCTGGAGGAGAAAGAAAAGAAGCAGAACTTTTCTATGGCAGGTGTGTATGCAGAGGAAAAACATAAATTCATCTCTAAACATTAATGCATTCCCCAAAGACACACTGCAGGAATAAATATATCTATGATGCTTCTATAGAATAAAGGGGCAGGTTTTACAAAGTCTATGTTTACTCAGTTCATACTGCTTCCACTAGCTGACGACATAAGCAGAAGTCAGGATGTGTTGCCACAGCTCTCTCCACAGAGAGCAGCAGGCACAACTTTCCAGGTATTGTCCTGGGGAAGGCTGTGAGAAGAGCAGAGAAAAGAATGATGAACAATTCTTATCTTCACTTGCCCATGAAGAGGATAAAACCAACTGCTAGATTCACCAGCACAATATTGAACATCTGCTCCATCTGTTCCAGGAAATGGTGACGGGTATCTTGCTACAATATATTACACTAATTTTTCCAAGATATTTTTGTGTTTGGTCATTTAAATTGCAGTGAGGTATTTTATTACCACACAGAACCTCCATAACCACTTCTAAACTGCTTTGGTAACCTAAATCACTCCCTGCTTACATAACTTCAGTGCCACTGTGGCAATGACATCCTGCCACTATCAAGCCCTTTGCCAAAACTGAACCTTCCTCATGGGGCTGGATAGGGCATGACAGGAGCAATGCTGCCTGGGTGCACTGGGGGAAAGGAAGGATTTAGGAGATTTCCCCTTATATGTTCTGAGCCTTCCCAGCTTCAGAAGAGCTGTGTAACAGGATGAATGTAGCAGTGTTTCTCTTATCACATTTTAACAGCATCACTTAATATCACCAATTCAAACACAACAATCAGCATGCAGTCAAGTATTTAATCACTGGGAAAATAAATATTGCTGCCCATCTTCTCCATTTAGACTCTGAAGAGTGTTTGGGTTTCATCATGGATTCCATTTATGAATTGTTTTCATCTTTTAATCACTTGCAGAAGTCTTGAGAGTATAACATCAGCCAGAAAGTCTTTCTTGTTGCTCTTTTGAACGCTATCATATATATATAGGCATGTTCCATGCTTAATCCATATATATACTTAATCCATACCTATATATACTATATGTTCTATATATACTTAATCACATATGAACCTCAAATAAGTGCTATTAAACTAACATTATATTCTGCAGATAAAACCTTTTTTCGTCCTTCAGCATTTTCTCCACTCACCAGAGGTCTGCTTTTTTTCTGGTTTACTGCATTGATTTTACTGGTTTTCTCTCACACTTAGAAATACATAGGAATATCTTTCAACTGCAAGGTTTTAATATTATGCAAAGTCCATACCTTGCAACTCCTCTTTTTTCTTTCAACCTTACTGTATGTCTACCTTTCAAATCATTGCCATATCCTACAGCTCAAAACACCAGCACAAAGAAAAGAACAGGGTCAACCAAAATAACTTTCTCTGTGAACTCACAGAGGCCAAGATTGTCACTTTTCTTATGAGCACTGAGATTGAGGAAAACTTGATATTAAAGTCAGTGCTACTAAAGTTAGATCATGTAAGACAGTAATCTATCAACACATTTTAGCATGCTTAAATGTAAAGCTTGTCTGATTCTGAGATCAGTGGGAATACACAGATGGTTTAAGTGCTTTTTTCCACTACAACCAGAGTGCTTAACATGAGCAAACGAGTTTTCTTCATCCTCCTTTTAATGACATGACCTCAATAGGGGTGGGGTGTCAAACTCAAACAGCAGCACTGAAAAGAACAGGTTTTATCCTGCTTTCAATGCTTGGGGAGGTATGAACAGAGAATGGCCACCACCAACTCCCTGTGAAGAAAACAGGACAAGGGAACCTCATGTGCCATCAAGTTAATTTCCTCTTTAGGCAGACATTTGATACAATTTTTTTATAATTCCACACATGCTGATCAAGCTTGGCTGATCAAGCTTGGTAAATATGCAGGTGTTTTGCTCCTGTACTCATGAGAAGGCTCTTCCAGAGCCTTACACTTCTGGCCCTCAGTAATCTTCAATCCCTTCCTTCAGGTGGGCAAATGTGCCCAAGGAAGATTATTACCATGGCAGTAAGGATATGAGTGGCATGACCCTAACTTGTAGAACCTAGACTGGAATTTAAAGGCAAATACCACAAGAGTTGGGAAAGAAAAGGAGACCCTTCTGGAGAGAAGTCCAAGTTTTGGGAGAAAGGAACACTTAAATCATACATTAAGAAGTCCAAGCATGCCTGTGAAATCTTGATTCTCCCACTCCTGTGAATTTAATTTTGTGAAGTATCTTCATAAAGAGTGAAATCTGTTACAGAACACCACAAAAATATTAGGATTTTTTTCAAGACACAATGTATAATCAGGTACCTTCCTTTTCTTCTTTTACAGAGCCTTTTTTCTTTGAAAATGGCCCTCAGCATATTCTTTTGCCTCTGCTCTTTACATGCCTGTTCTGTATCATTTGAGGCAAAAAGAAAAAAAAAAAAAAGAGAAGAGAAATTGTACTGTCCATTCTGGCACAGGTACCACAGCATCCTGAAGCATTTATCACACATCATCTGCAGAGACAGGCTGCAATGCAGACGTTCCTGAAACATCAGTCTGGACAGCTTTTACTGGACCACCAGTTTTCCCAGAGGATGGCATCCACAGTGCTCAGAGCACAAAAGGTCAACACTTTTGATAAGGGACAGCTCCAGCTCTTTCACACCCTTGTTTTTAAGGATCATAGGTACAATTTAATTGATACACTTGACAGATGACCTGACCCTGTCCCTGTCCAATAGGTATGCCTATTCAACCAGAAATTGTGCTGCAAAGCCTTACCAACTGCTAGTCAAAGCCTACTTACTGTCTTCAAAATCTTGTTATTAAATTCACTGGGGAATTACATTCAATCTATGCTTATCTTATATGCTTATATGTAATTGTTTTGTGATATGAACCACAATCTACTCAACACTGAGAAAAATTACCTCTCACTGGGCAAACTTGAACCAAGGCATTTGGGTCACAGAAATGATCACAGTGCTGGAGCATCTCTTCTGCAAATGTTGAGGTTGTTCAGCCTGGAGAAGAGAAGGCTCCAGAGAGACCTTAGAGCAGACTTCCAGTACCTAAAGGGGGCTTGTAAGGAAGATGGGGACAGACTTTTAAGCAGAGCCTTTCGTGATAGGATAAGGAGTAATGGTTTCGAATTACAAAGCCATATAGTGCTTAACACCACATATAAAAACATTTTTTACAATGAGAGTGGCAAAATACTAGCACAGGTTGAGCAGAGGTGGATGCCCCAACCCTGGAAACATTCAAGGTCAGGCTGGACAGGGCTCTGAGCAACCTGATCTAGCTGAAAATGACCCTGCCATTGGAGACATATTAGAATAGATTATCTTTAAAGGTCCCTTCCAACCCAAACCATTTTGTGATTCTGTGAATTAAGGCACTTAGTATTTAATTTCTGTCTAACCACACTCTTAGACAGTCACCACGTGCACTACATGCTGCCCATTCATGAGTTGCTGCCCAGCTGGCAAAAATTCAAGGTTTTGGGCTTGAGGCAGTACCCCTTTTCTGCATTTCCTCTATTCGTGAGGCCAGAATGCACAATCTGCATTTGGCATAGCTGGGTATGGCCGCGAGTGATGCCGTGCCCACAGAACCCACGCTGCCACAGATGAGAGGTGATAGCGGATGGGAGCCTCTCGCCATCATAGTTTCCTTCTGCAATCAGGATACGCGCGCTCTCTCCACACACACGAGCTCTTTCCCCCTTTCTCTGCACAGTCCGTCACTCCCGTTCCCTCCGAGGCTGGAGACCGAGCCCGCAGCCCCGCGGCACTGCCCGCGCCCAGCACCCGGCCCACAGCCGGACCCGGGCTGGGGTTCCCGTACCGGACCCGGGCTGGGGTTCCTGTACCGGACCCGAGCTGGGGTTCCCGTACTGGACCCGGGCTGGGGTTCCTGTACCGGACCCGAGCTGGCTGTACCGGGCCCGGGCTGGCTGTGCAGGGCCCGGACTGGGGTTCCTATATCGCACCCGGGCTGGGGTTCCTGTGCAGGGCCCGGGCTGGGGTTCCTGTACCGGACCCGGGCTGGCTGTGCAGGGCCCGGGCTGGGGTTCCTGTACCGGACCCGGGCTGGCTGTGCAGGGCCCGGGCTGGGGTTCCTGTACCGGACCCGGGCTGGCTGTGCAGGGCCCGGGCTGGGGTTCCTGTACCGGACCCGGGCTGGCTGTGCAGGGCCCGGGGCCAGCACAGAGCCCACCCCAAGCCGGCCCGGCCATGCGGCGGGCGGGTGTGCGGACCAAGCTCCTCCCCGGCGCCGCCGCCCCTCGCCGCGCCGCGGGGCCGCGCAGTCGCTCGGCGGGCCATGGAGGCGGGCGGCGGGGCCGGGGCGCGGCGCTCCGCGCTGCTGCTGCTCCTGCTGGCGGCGGCGCTGGGCGGCGAAGCGGAGGCGGAGGAGCCGCGCCCGGCGCGGCAGCGCGGGGACGAGCAGTGCCATTACTACGCGGGCGGGCAGGTGTACCCCGGGGAGGCGGCCCGGCTGCCCGTCTCCGACCACTCGCTGCACCTCAGCCAGGCCAAGAGTAGGTGCCGGGCGCGGCCGGGGCTGCGGGAGCGCGGGGCCGGGGCGGGGATGCCCCGCAGTGCGCCTCGGGGCTGCGCAGCGCGGCGGCGGCGGCGCCACGTCAGGCGGAGCGCGGGGCTCCCGAGCCCTTCCGTGCCCACGCCGGCTCTGCTGCGGCCTCGGGCGGGCCTCGGCAGGCGGGCCGGAGGGGAGCGGGGGAGGGCGGACCGGCTCCTGCCAGAGCTGCACGTCCGTCGTGGTCACCGCCGCCGGCTCACGGGCTCCAGCGAGGTCCGTGGTTCCAGAAATGGCGAACGAGTTCAGGGGAGCGCTTGAGGGATCCGCAGGAATGTTCTGTGCTCACACTGCGATCACAAACAATGGACGGCGCCTCTCGGAGCCCGCCGCCACCGCGCTGGGTTTGGCGCTGCTTTCGTGCCGGAACTCTGTCCGATTCGGTTTAAATGCTTTACATCACAGACATCACAGACCTGGGGACAAACACCGCAAATCGCATCGCTGTGAGATGTGCAGGGCTTGCTCAAAGTCCTGTCCTGCAGGACGGAGAGTACAGAGAGATCACACAGATATTATCTGATATTATCTTCCCTGTGAGAATTTAAAATCCTTTTCCTTTACGGAGCCAGGGCATACATTCCGTTTTAAACGTTTGCAAGCAGATGCTACCAAAAAAAAAAAAAAAAAAGCAGCCAAGATATTTGTAACCGATAGTGTTTGGGTTTTTCTTCCTTTGCAATATAAGTTGTTACAGGCAGATGTTTATAGCAAAAACAACTCCCTTAATTTAGAAAAGCATCAAGAGATACAGTATTTCATTTAATATATTTTCCTTCTCCCTCGTAATCTGAAGGTCCTTGTTATACATCCTTGATCCTTGTAAACGATATTCTGCAGCTGTGGATTGTCCTAAGGAAAGGAGAGCCAAACAATTCAGGCAGTGTCCAGATAATATTTAAGATTCCATGTATTTTTCTCAGAAGCTTTTCCCTAATTTGTTGGAGATACATGTCAATGTCCTTGACATGGCAAGTGTATTCACACTACCTTGTAATTCCAGCATACCCTATCCTTTGTCTCAGAATTCACAGTGGTATGAAAATTGTACCTGGCAGATTAATTTTTAATATTTTAAATTCAAGGTTAATCCCTCCTGATAGGAATAGTAAATATATTTCATGCTTTTTAAGTGGATATGTTTTAAAAATATAGCTGTCTTCAAGTTAAAATTTGCTTAGGAGTTGTAACTTAGTAAACATGCTGCATTTTTAGGCATTTGTCTTTAGCCATGTTGTGACATATATCTTTTGTGGACCCGAATTCTCCAGACAGGTTTCCATGGCTAAAAGGTAAAGTGAATCTGAACTGGTTTGTGCTTCTGGTTCCCAACAGCTATTTTTAACAGAACAATGAGAGTACCTGAAGTATTAAAGAGCTTTCCCCTGCAGTCTAGCAGGTACCTTGAGCTGGCAGTGCACACAGGGTTTGTTCAGTCAGCCCAGATAAGGTTTGTGTGGCCTTGATTGTCAGTGATCAGCAGGGCTCGTGTATGAGCACAAGCTGGTCAAATTATTTACTTTGTATGTGTACTAAAGCCTTCATTTCTTCATCATTCCCTGTTTAGAGCTGGAAAGCAGTTTCATCTTGGAACTGTGCTGCAGGTTGTTTTTCATGCAAAAGGAAGAACAGCTGTCCTTGGGCAGCTTGGCTTGAACACAGGTGTTGTATTCTTTTAATTCAATGTTCTTTGCATTTCAGTCTCCAAGCCAGCACCTTACTGGGAGGGAACAGCAGTCATTAATGGAGAGTTTAAAGAGCTGAAGCTAACAGATTATGAAGGAAAATATCTTGTCTTCTTCTTCTATCCTCTTGACTTGTAAGTAGGAGCACTGTAGGCATACCACTGAGTGCAGCTACACTATCCATAAATCATTAATTCTTCTCTTTTCTGAGGTCTTGTATTTTTTGTTTGGTAAGAATTTGGGAGAGAAAAAGGAATGACAGAAGAAAATATATTATTTGCATTTGTTTTCTCATCATGCATTGGTAAAATTGCAACACAGTCTTTGTCCTAGTAACTGTGTCCACTAATTTGTGTCTCCACACAAAACAAACAACTACCTAACCTAGTTAGGCAGACTCTATGTTCTGTTTCATGCTGTAAATCAGTGCTGCAAGTAGAAGAAAGCATCCTTTCTAGAGTGTGTACAATATATCCAAGAGGTGGCATTTTCCCTTTAAGCTCACCCCATTACATCCTGTGAGCATTTAGCATTAACCTCCTTTATTTAGAATGCAGTAACTCCACTGATTGAGTGAAAACATCTCTGCTTTTTAAAGGACAATCCCATTCTTTTCCACAAAATGAAGATAAGAGGACAGAGATGCATAACTACTTTTAATATGATAACATCACTAGCTTTACTACTTCAGTTCTTCTGTAATAGAAAAAGTTGAAGACAAATTAGTTAAAACTTGCAGATTTGCACAGTAACAACAAATTATAGTATGATCCTCTGAAAGAATTGGTTTAGAGTGCTTAAATTTAGCCACATTTGTAAAGTCTAAAAGAAAGTAACTGTACAAGCTCTGAATGCAGATTGTAAAATAACTGTAGATTTGGAGTCTTCAGAAATAATCCATTAGTAACTAAGCTGGAGTCTGAGGGTAGAGGATTTGTCAGGCAGCATTTTGGTTAAATACTTGAAGGAGCAATAAAAATAAGCAAAAGCTGAAATAATTTATGATAAATACACCGTTTTAAGTTAGGCAGAGAAATTACTGACTTTCTCATGAATTTTTGACTTATATCTTGTCTTAAATCATCTAGTACATTTGTCTGTCCAACTGAAATCATTGCCTTCAGTGACCGAATTGAAGAATTCAGAGCAATAAATACTGAAGTAGTAGCATGTTCTGTGGACTCAAAATTCACTCACTTAGCATGGTATGTATCTTTCTTTTGTCTCTCACTAAGCATTATTTATTCATGATTCCAACTTAGCAAAAGAACAGTACTCCCCAGATTTTTAGCCTGTGGAGGTATATCATAATGTGTGAAAGTGTGATGCTGTTGACACAAATGTTTAAAGTTTTAATCCTAGTGTGTGAAAGTACCTGTATTTTTTAAGCTTGTTTAATGTGTATTGCTTGCAATATGTCATGTCTCAGTCCAAAAAATACTACTAGAAAATATTAATGAAACTATCAGTAAATGTTTCACTTGTCCCAGTTCATGAGCATGTTGGCATAAAGCAAATGGGACTGACAAGAAAAAGGTCATCATTAACAGATGTGGCCAAAACTGCAAAAGATCTACTGAACATTTTGTTCAAACCACAAATACTGTTCCATCTCCTTTATGTGCAGAATAGAAAAAAATGTCACTTGCACTAGATCCTTCTGTCCATACTGAAGTAGTTTGTGATTTCTGACTTGTGTAGGGAATATAAGTCTGTATGAGAAATACATCTGTATTTCTTTTCCTTCAAAGGATTAATACTCCTCGTAAACAAGGAGGACTTGGACCAATGAAGATTCCCCTTCTTTCTGATCTGACACACCAGATTTCAAAGGATTACGGAGTGTATCTGGAAGATCAAGGGCATACACTTAGGTATTTCAGTGGGTTGCAGTTGAGTTGGGTTTTCGCTGGGGTAATACTGTTTCATATTTAAAGAAGCATTGAAATTTTTCTTTTAGAGCAGCTTTTATTTGGGGGTTCATGGCGAGTAGCAAATATTGAAAAACACAAAAAACTTAGTCAGAAGAAGGGTCAAGGTTAATATCCTGTTTAACAGCAGGCATCAGTAGAAACCTAGAGCAGGACAAGTGAGCAGGATTCCCCAAAACTGAAATTGCTCAGGGACCTCCCGAGTCCAGGTAGAGTCAAGACTAAGGTTACCTAAAGAGATACATTTGCCTAAAACTGAGTAGTTTCTTTTGGGATCCCTGTAATGCCCTAGCATCTGCAGCATCCCCTGGCAGGGCCTGTGAGAGCTTAGTCCAATGTTCTGCAAAAACATAGGACTTTTTGGTCTTAACTGGAGCTCAGCTCATGTCCTCTGATACCAAGGTAAAGAATGGTAGGTTACTGGTGGTGAGTATTACATGATGTTTGCAGAGATCAAATTCCTCCTATCCAGCAGACATAAAATAGTGCATGAAAACACCACTACTATTAATTCTGTTTCCTAACACACACACAATTTTTTTACCCACAGAGGCCTTTTCATTATTGACAATAAGAGAATCCTTCGACAGATCACAATGAACGACCTTCCTGTTGGGAGATCAGTGGATGAAACACTTCGTTTAGTACAAGCATTCCAGTACACAGACAAACATGGAGAAGGTGCTCTTTAAATATTGCCATATTGAAGATTGTTTTACTTAGCCTGGAAGCTGTATTAGCTTTTTGGAGGAAGGATGTTCAGTAACATTAAGGACTGGCCTCATACAGTGACTGAAGTGGTTTGATTGCCCTGCTTGATCCCATGGTCCCAGGTCCTCAGGTTGTTTCTAGAACAGTAATTTATATTTTGTTTCACATCCATGAGAATGAGAGCATAAAGCATTCCTGTAGTCTGAATTTTAGCATGATGTACCCTTTCCAACAATGTACCATGTGTCACAAGCATAAATTTGTACAAAATATGAGGCTGTGAAGAATGAGGCCCAATATTTCAGTACATTTTTGCATACTAAAATAATGGAGATGCAGGCCATCCTTGTCTTGTGTCATTCAGTGAGGACCTGTGAGAAGTAATGAGTGTTTCATGGCAAGATACATGGTGATACTTTGGAAATTACAGCACCATTACTTGTGTTTTTTGTATAAGTGCTGTGTGATCATCTTTCCCCAACAAAGAAATTCTACTGTCTTCAGATTATTACTTTGTATCAAAAATTCTTATTCCTCCAGTTCAAGCATGGGGTGAACTTTTTCACATTTCTTTAAATAAGTAATTGGAAGATTTGTTTAGATATGAATACACATTTAGCAACCTAACTTCCAGTTCAACTCATGTCTCCAATCATTTGAAAGTACCTTTATATGAAGGTACAAATCATTATTCTGCTGTGCTATACACACCTGAAAAAATAGATGCTGATACTTAGGCTATGCACATCTGACTAAGGAGATTTACACACATTTAGTACAAAGCCAGCTTACAGAATGTTGATTTGCAATGTTTCCAGAATACCACTTTTTTTCCCCATCTTTTCCATGAATGTTGACGAGAGCTTCTGTAGAAGCTCTCCTTCATTGTACAGGAAGAACTATTATTCTGTATTCTTCTTTGCACAGAATAACAGTTCTCCACAATTCCTTCTAGCATTTGAGGTGTTTTGTCTGCCAGCTTGTCTTAAAGCAGTGTAATATGACATAACTGCTTGGGCTGAAGCCTCAGCGGGAGAGCTCTGCATAGATGAGAGCTTTACTCCAGAATATGCAGCTGTTCAGGTGGTCCCAGGGCTCCCAGCCACACTGTGCTAAGCACATGCTGCAATCCCTTTGTTCCTAAGGAAGGTTACAAGTAAAATTAAGTCTCTTGTGGAACTTTTGAACTGATCTCTTTGCTAAAAAATGCCTCTAGTTTCGGTTTTAAAGAAAAAAAGGTAGATCTTCGGGTAGTCACCTGAATTTTATTGCAAAACTTCTGTTTTACTAGAGTAGTGTTCATTCTCAGATAATGCTTTGCCAGTACTTCGTGTAGAAGGGTAAAAGAATTAAACTAAGGCATAGGCATCCATCCAGAGATGTGCAGTTTTCAGGTAACTGAAGTGGTGGGTGGTGTCATGTATAAACTGCTAGGTCACCATCCCATGTGTAAAGAAAACTGCACATGTAATAGTTTCAGAAATTAACATGTGACATTTCATGGTGATTTACTTTAAGGTCAGAAAGAGAATATTAAGGACACAAAAGTCCATGTGTGTAAAAATACTTGAGCTAACTTTGTCCCTTTTTTTTCAGTTTGCCCTGCTGGTTGGAAACCTGGCAGTGAAACAGTAAGTCACTGTTTATATTAACATGCATGTATTACTAACAAGCACTCAGTTACCATTTCTACTAGAGCCAAATCCAAAATCTCAGCAACTTTCAGTGAGAAGGTATGAATAATGTTGCATTATTACACTTACACCATTTGGATTACTATTGATTTCATTAGGGGATTGTTTCCCTCACACTAGACATCTCCCAGTTGTTTCAAACTCCTGGTGTGTGAACAAAATTCAATTGATCAGCAGTGGCTTTGTGATCAAGAACTTTTTCCTGTTAACGCCTGATGAGGGAAAGTTCAAAACTCTTGAGTTTCTTATATCTTCTTGGTTATTTGTGGTTCTTACTGCAGATCCTGGGCACTACCTAAAAAAAGACAGACCAGAGTTCCCAGGCTGCTGTGGTACGTGCCAGAGCCAGTGCCACTATCAGCACTCCAGCAGGGAGCACTGCTTTGCTGAGCAATTTTCCTCCCTTCTTTGCTACTCCTGGGCTCCATGTGACTGGAGGCAGAGGAGCCAGAGTTCACATAAACACTCATTGAACTTGTTTGTGTTCCCTGGCCCAGAGCGAGCCTCAGCAGAATAATGAAACTTTCACCAGAGGTCTGAGCTGCCTTGTTCAGATGAGATCACTGTCACTTATTTGAGCATGTGGCTTCCTCCTGAACCATCTGGTGATGACAGAGCACTGTTGTTAAAGAGCTGGCTCAACAAAAACCAGGTCCCAGCACGCTCTAAGCAGAGTTAGTGAGCATTGTACTTAATAGTAAAAACCAGGGGAATATTAAACCATGTTTCTTTGCTGGATGTGAAAGTTTCCTAGGATGACTTGATGACTTGAAAAAATACTAATTTTTTCAAGCTAGCAGAGGAGTATCATAATGGGGGAAGCTGGATATTGAGACTGTAAAATGAAAGAGGGCAGGCTGGCCTAACGTTCATATTTTGGCACTGAAAAGTTCTGCCCTCCATAACTAGGATCACCTAGCTAACATGACATTGATATATTTTCTAACAAACAGTCTTAAAATGCTGATACTAACAGCTCCAACACTCACAATTTAGTAATATAAAGCAGTACATAAGCATTCTCCAACTCCTCTGTGCTAAAGATGCAGACAATAGCAGAGTAGTTGAAATTGAGTACATTTCTCAAAAATGTAGTCATGCCTTCTAAATATGTTTAATTTAATTAGATCAAACCAGAGGAAGCCATGAGAGTGTGGTGGCCAAGGGAAGAACTGTAAGTAAATTCTAAGCCTCTAGATTACAGATACTAATTTACCAAAATATCTTGCTTTTGGGGCAAGCTGTCAAAATTCTTCCTTTGGTAGGCTGCACTCTCTCATGTCTCAATTGTTTGAATCTCTCTGCTATTGCTGTTAGGCACCTTTAGGGATGCACAGTAATCTAGTACCAAATCAACTGATAGATTACTCTTCAGTGTTGCAAGCGAGTTGGCAGTGGCATCTTACTGTGAAATACTGTGCTGTTCTAGCTTTGTAGTTTGCTATGTTTTTCTGGCTTTGGTTTTTGACTAATATTTTCATTTTCTTCCTTGCACAGATAATTCCAGATCCAGCTGGAAAACTGAAGTATTTTGATAAACTAAACTGAGGCTCACTTCTGTTGAATTCCGTAGGTCACATTCAGCCTGATTTTTGCCAATAAAATTTCATTAATTTTGGTACTTTTGTGAGTTTGATTAATATGTAACAGTAATAAAATATTAAAGGGCTCATTGTTTAAACAGAAGTCTAACCTGTGTGAAGCACAGGTACCTCATTAGTTATCAGAGAATATTCTTATGAAATACATGTTTTCTCTTTAGGTTTTATTTAAATGCTCAGTCTTCTCCAAATCCACTTAGCATCATGGGCTTAGATTCATCACTTTTGCTATTAACAGATTTCTTAATTTCTGAAAAAATCTTGTGTGTTTGGTCACATTCTAGAAACTATAGCTAGAAAAGAGCCATTTGGTTATGGTACATTCGTCTGTAGACCAGTGGCAGTAGCAGCTAACTTAAAAGCCAGGAATAAGTTGCAGTTGCTGAATTAAATTTCCAGTCTGTGTAAAGCTTGAAAACATTTTTCAACTACTAAGAACATACCCTACACTATATAAATCAGTACATCTGCACTGAAAAAAACACACCTCTACCAGTTCATGTGATTCAAGGGCCGAACCAGTAAATTTTTCTATGCTTAAATTTGTAGTGTATTTGCTGATAAGATCGATTCTGTTCCACATTTTCCTTGAGTTTTGTCCCTGTCCCTACACTGTTAACGGATGTGGGGGATAGTGTCCTGTGCCAATCCACTCCCTAACTGTGGCTCCTAGTTTTAAGGGAGTAGTTGTAGTCTTTCCCAAGATAAGTACTGATATGTGACCATCATAAACTCTTGTGGCTGATGGACAAGAATTTCTTCTTTGAAGTGAGAAAAACATCTCCATGTAAGACATTTTTGTGTGCACTGGAGAACCCTTTCCTGAGGAGGTCATCTTGCTTCTTCCCACCACTTCCTGTTTTTGACGTGGTATTCTAGAGTCTGTGCAACTGGAAAAACAGCAACTGAAATGTGTGTCAGCTTTTCACCAGGGTCATCCTTAAAAAGTCAACAGCCACCTTCTGTCTCCAGTCTGCACCACTACATTATTACTCTTGGCTGGATCCCACATGCCTAAGAACTCACTTCCCCTTCCCTCACCAAACATACAATTCCCTGCTCTATACAAAGACTCTTCATTGCAGTTCTGCAGAACCAGGCCAGGACTTGAATTTGCCCTGTGAAGTTACATGATTTTGTGGACTTTTGTGAGTATTGAGCAGCTCTCATATTAGTCACTGCAGACACAGAGCAGAACAGCTGCTTCCTTTACTTAGCTCTGATACAAATAACACCTACACACATACCACGGGCAGAGGGAACCACAGCCAGAGGAAGCAGAGCTTCACTAAGCCTCAGCCTCGCTGTTCCTGTGGGGTCTGGGGAAAGGAGTCCCTCATCCCATCTGGAGGGTAACAGAGGCAGAACAGGATCAATGCCGAATCCCAAAGGCTCCTAATGTGCTGCTCCAGCCTGTGATTGCAAAGACCAGAGGGCAGCATGTAGAGAGAGGTGCCTTCTCACATGACTAGGATGTAAATCACCTTGAATTTTACTCTGGATTCTGTTTACATCAACCCTGAAGCACCAAGAACAACACACAAAATGTTCAAATAACTCCAAGGCACTGCAGCATGAGAAATGTGGGCCCAGCTATCACATGGATATTCAGCAGCAGCCCGAGGCACACAATGAACACAGTGTTTGTGCCCCCTTTAGAACTGGTGCCCTGCTCCTGAGGGGCCTTGCCCACCTCTCCAGCCAGCTGGCTCTCAGTCATGCCTAATGCTCCCCCAGCTGCAGGCACCTCTGGCCCTGAGCCAGCCAGTGACACCTGATAAAGACAGAGAGGAGTTACCTGCCATGCACTGAACACCTCCAGCCAGCTCATGGCTCCCTGCAGAGCCCAGTGAGCAGTGAGTTACAGCAGCACAGCCACAGGGTCTATCTCTGTAGCAGTCAGCACCAAGAGCAGCAAACTACAGCAGATGTCAAAAGCTGTACAGAGTCTGAGTCAAGAATAGAAAATTGTGCTGAGAACACTTAGCAGCTGAAGAAAACTGAGGCCATCTGCATGCTTTGACCATTGCAAATTTAAGTCACAGCAGTGTAGCTGAGTAAACTTTCAAGGCTTTTATAAACAGCATTTACACTTTAAACATGTGGTAAGGTTTTGGTTTTTTTTAATGCAGGTCAATGGGGATACAAAGTATTAGGGAAATAGGGACATAGTCCTTAGCAAAGACTTGAGTTGCCATGTGATTGTACATATTTGAAATTAACAAATGACAAAGCAGCCTATTCTTCCAGTACTCCAGTTGGGGTTTGAAATAGTGGAAAACTATTTCTGCTTTCCCAAACCCCAGGATATATTCAGGGGCCTCTCTTGGAAGTGCATAAAATGCAGATGCCATTGTGAGCCTGTCTTCTACCAAAAAAGCAAAACTGCTCCTGCAACGCAAGTAATGACTAATAATGAGACACAGTCTTCAACTTCCTCTGATATTTTGGGCAAGCATCCCACACCCCTCTACTGCCCCCTCACCTAAACTATAGGTGGTGGTGAGGTCTGCAGATGAAAGTCACCTCTCCAAGCATTTAGCTCAGACCTGGATGTCACCTCCAGAAGTATCGAAGAAGCAGCAACTCAGATTATAATAATAATGGCACTGATTTTGGATGTTATTAGCTGATGTAGCCCTCTGCAGCCTTTCTAGGTTATGCCCATTCCCGGCCCACAGGAATCTCTTCCTATTCAAACTCAAGTATATCCAAAAAATAAACACCACATTGCTGGGAGCCTATACTGGTATTAAGTTTACAATTGGACTCTAATCTTACAGGTATTTTCCAACCTGCCAATGCCTCCAATGTGCCTCCAGCCTCATGGACTGGAGCCCTGCAGGGATGAGGATCTCTGCTGGCAGAGAGAAGTGCTCCAGTGTATTGCCTGTGCAGGTCTGGTTATCCAACTACACCTTCCACAAAAGGAGTCCCCAGTTTGTCTTTCATGAAAGCTGAGTATTTATCCTTTTATCTTCCTGTTTGCTTGTGCCTAGCCCATGAGAAATTATCTCTCCCATATCTAGTTAAGAATGTATTCAGAGCAGGGTCAGCAATCAAACCAGTGTCACCAAAAAAAGGCTGGACCAGATGTGCAGTAAAACCAATTGAGCATGCAGTGAGTTGCAAGCAGGTTTCTGAAGTAGAACTGTTGCTCTATGGCCCACATTGCACCAGCTCCTGCAAACTTCTTTCCAGAGTGCTGTACAATGTGACATGGCTGCAAAATCTGACAGGGCTGCAGGAAGGAATGGTCCCTATTTGAAAAAGGGCTATCAGAAGCTGTTACATTAAGTTTGAGTAATTTTAGTACTTTTTTAACCACAGAAAAACAAAAACATTTGAAACAAGGCATTCCTTTAGGCACTGAGTTCACCCAATCCCACAGAAATATCCTTTTATATCACTATTAAGTGAAAGGGTAAGGGGAGGCAATCCTGCTCCTCCTCACTGTATTCCAAAAAACAATGAGCACAGACATCTGCTTCCTGCTACAGAGCCACAGTCAATCAATTATATAGTTAAGCTTACTATTAATAAAAAGATTTTCTAGCAATTCCTTTAGGCTTCTGTGATAATGATTAATCACCTACAGCAGTGACAGGCTGGATATAAGTTGCAACATAAACCCAACATGAATTACTATGTTGAAATATTTTAATTCTAAATGTGAGAGCTGAGAACATTTTTCTCACATACACACAAAGGCACAAAGCAGCATGCATACCTTTGAACAAAGATACCAGAGAGGGTGACAGCTTGGAGTTACCATCTCAGAGTAAAAAATACATGAGTACATATATATAGCAATGAACTGAAAAGCATGTATCTTTTACATATGTGCATATACACACACATTCTGTATGGCTGCACATACATTCTGAAACTACTGTCATTGTGGTATGTGATTAAGTTATCATGGACTTAGAGAACACATCAATTCTTCTATGCATCTTCATTTGTGGTATTTGTTTTCTTCACTGCATCCAGAGTTCTGATATCACACTTTCCTCCATACTCTATTACCTCTTTTTCTCTCCAACACCTTCCCAAAGGCTGAATTATCATAGAAATTAAGATAAATTCATCTTTAAATGCAGCAGAAAAGTCAGTAGAGAATGAATTTGGCATCCCAAATTCATTTTAACTTATGTGTGTTATAAAAAAGTGATCCCGGTAGGATCACTGGGTCAGTGATAAAAACCTGCAGGTACTCGGGAGTAAAACATAGTTCTGAAATAGATCCTTTCATTTCCTGCCTTCCTATTTATTTTTTAATAGTTGACATTGATCCCTGCAACAAGGGGGAAGAAGCTGAGATACAATTTCAGTTCTTTATTTGTGTGGTCAGTCTGATAGAGTCAGTTTTAAAAAGGATAAACCCAGAAAATACAATTTATCTCCACAGCATCATAATCATAATCATTAAGATTTTAATGTCATAGAGCTGAGTCAGCACTGGAGTGTGGCTGAAGAGGAAAACTCTATGGAAGGAACCAAGAGCTTACCATCAGAGCAATACAAGCATCTGTTCTGGATCAGACCACAACCCTGTACCTCCTCTGAAAAGCCATCTAACTTACCCAATACAGCAGCTGAATCTTAAGAAGGAGAGGCTGATGTGTAACATGCTGATTATTACAATGCTCAATTGCAATTTCTCACAGGAATAGCAAAGAGCTGCTAGGGGTCATGATCTTCATGCCATCCTAGCACCAAAGTAAACTGCTCCTAACTGTGACTTTCTCAGGCTTTCTTACTCAGAAATAGAACCTCAACATGCTACTTTATCAACACGGTTCCTGCATCTGTGCTGATTGATATAATTACTATTTGCTACATCCTCTTTTCAAAAAAACTTAAACTTCACAGGAAAGCCAGAATCCATTCTTCTGTATTGCAAGACATCACATTTCATCTGTTTAACCCCTGAGCCCAACTGTTCTTTGGGTGTCCTGATAAGTTAGGACATCAATCTCGATGAGAGCTACCAGCAATGCAGTTTTGATGCCTCCTA